TAATTATTATATTTAAAATTTGTAAAAGAACCAAAATAATAATAATAATAATAATAATGTATTATACAAAAATATCATTAAAATTTTTAAAGATTAAAGGGAATTTTTTTATGAAAGGTTCGTAAATTCTTAATAATGTTAAGTGAATTTAAATAGGAGTCGTTATTTTAAAATTAGTTAAATATTAAAAAGGAATTTTTAAAATTGAGAAATTGTTTTTAATAATAAACTAAATAAAAATTTTAAATATAATTTAATATAAAAATAAAATTGTTATTCATTAAACAAAAGGTTTTTAAAAGTTTTATCTTAATTTAAAGTTTTAAAATCAAATTTAAAAATTGTTTTATATATTAGAATAATTNAGAGCAGGAATTTCCTGTAGATTTTATACTTCCGTAATCCTTATTGCACCGTCGATATATACAAATTACTAACAAAAATAACAATTTTTAAAATATGTAAAGGTTAATCACAATAATAAAAATAGATAGGAATGAACTATAATGTTTTTCTAGTTTGTTTACAAAAATAATTTAAAGAATTTTTAGTAAACACACGTGTAATTTTTTTCAAATAATAACTGCTTCTTGTTTAATCGCTTCACGTGGCACTGCAATACACTTAAATTACTCTGCATAATTTTTCTATTTCTTTTACCTGCGAAAGGTACATATAAATCTCTAAAAATTAAAGAATTTAAGGAGAAATTATAATAAAAATGAGCTATGAATATCAGGAAGTACTTAGTTTTGGGCACGATTTGATACAAAGCGACGCGACTAAGCGTGCAGAAGTAGATATTTGAAGGCTTAATTTAGGGCCGAATTTAAATTAAATATTAATAAATAAATAAATAGATACATTTTATCTAATATTTATGAAGAAAATCATAATAAATTTATACTTATGAATGATTATTTGTTGTTATCAATATTGTAAAGTACCATCGCGAGTGGAAGATTGTCCATAAATACTATTAAAATTTAATTTAAAAATTACATTATAAATATTCAAAGAGCTGAGATGTGTTTTATAGGATATTTTTCAGTAAAATGATTTATAGAATGTTACATAACCGAATATAAAAACGTAGACTATAAATTCTGAACTTGAAATGATTAGAATTTAAAATGGACGAATAATCTCTTAAATTTTATAAAATAAAATTTGATTATTTATATTAATAAGTTAACTAACTTTGTAATAGTTAATTTTATGCAGAATTTTTATCCGTTTTTTTTAAAATATTTGTATGCTTTAAACATAGATATGAAAGAGGATACTTAATAATTTATCTTTGTTAATTTTTATTATAAAACGTTTACTGCTTATAACATTAAATTAGATTATTTCTTTTGAAATTTTGGGAATGATATTTTATGTTTTTAAGCTATTAATTTAAGTTTTACACATAATTATAAATTAATATTTTTGCTTAAATATTTCTCAACAGATTCTGAGAATTTAGGGAATTTAAAGAAAAATCTTTTAAATTGTTTTTAGAGAATTTTCTTCAAAAAAAGGAAGGAAAAAAATGATATTTTTTGAACTAGAAATTCCTTTGGTGTGAATTTAAGGAATTTATTTATTTCAAAAGAAATTTTTGGGATTAATTTTAGAGAATGCGCTTTTAAACTGCAGTTTTTTAATTTGGTTTTTGATTTAAAATGTTTATATATATATAAATGTATCTTAGTTTTTATTTAAACAATTTTTTAAAATTTTTCAATGCTATCTTAAAAAGTTTTTCCTAGATTCGTGATTCGGAGAACTAAAATATTCGTTTACAATTGATGTAGGTTTAAAGTCAACGTGTAAAAATTTCCATTTTATTATAAAGAGCAGGAATTTCCTGTAGATTTTATACTTCCGTAATCCTTATTGCACCGTCGATATATACAAATTACTAACAAAAATAACAATTTTTAAAATATGTAAAGGTTAATCACAATAATAAAAATAGATAGGAATGAACTATAATGTTTTTCTAGTTTGTTTACAAAAATAATTTAAAGAATTTTTAGTAAACACACGTGTAATTTTTTTCAAATAATAACTGCTTCTTGTTTAATCGCTTCACGTGGCACTGCAATACACTTAAATTACTCTGCATAATTTTTCTATTTCTTTTACCTGCGAAAGGTACATATAAATCTCTAAAAATTAAAGAATTTAAGGAGAAATTATAATAAAAATGAGCTATGAATATCAGGAAGTACTTAGTTTTGGGCACGATTTGATACAAAGCGACGCGACTAAGCGTGCAGAAGTAGATATTTGAAGGCTTAATTTAGGGCCGAATTTAAATTAAATATTAATAAATAAATAAATAGATACATTTTATCTAATATTTATGAAGAAAATCATAATAAATTTATACTTATGAATGATTATTTGTTGTTATCAATATTGTAAAGTACCATCGCGAGTGGAAGATTGTCCATAAATACTATTAAAATTTAATTTAAAAATTACATTATAAATATTCAAAGAGCTGAGATGTGTTTTATAGGATATTTTTCAGTAAAATGATTTATAGAATGTTACATAACCGAATATAAAAACGTAGACTATAAATTCTGAACTTGAAATGATTAGAATTTAAAATGGACGAATAATCTCTTAAATTTTATAAAATAAAATTTGATTATTTATATTAATAAGTTAACTAACTTTGTAATAGTTAATTTTATGCAGAATTTTTATCCGTTTTTTTTAAATATTTGTATGCTTTAAACATAGATATGAAAGAGGATTGTTATTGTAAGCTGTATAAACTGAATCATTCCGTTGACAACGTATTAAATGATTAATCTAAACAATTCTTTCATACATTGTTTATTTATCTATAAGGTTGATTTCCAAATAGAAAAAAAAGCAAATAAATATGAACGTTATGAGCTAACAAGCTTTTATTTAGTCAATCAATCTCCTTCAAACAATATATATTTTTTTTATTTTTTATTGCGTGAAAATCCTCAAAAACAGTTTACTATTTTCAGGAAAACGGTAAATTGTATAAAACAGGGATGCAATAACAATAACATTCTATATATAAACTGAAAAAGTAAACAATTTCAATCCATATCCTTTTCTATTATTTGGAACAATGCGAGCAAATCAGTACAATCTACTTTATCTGTCACTATCGATTTACTAAAATAAAATCATTCAAAATCGTTTATATCAAATAATGGCAAATATTTAGCAATATCTGATCAAACTGTAAAACCTTTTTTATTTTATTTTATCAAATCTATCAGTTAGATATTTCCACCCGATGTTTTATCATCTTATTCACTTAAGAATTATATCCAATATCAGGAAAAAACCAATTACAGAGATATTTTTATTGTAAAATATTCTGAATCAATTGGCTCTGTAAAGTTTTCGTGTGAATTATTCCGTATTTATTATTGTTTATTTCTGGTTAAAATTTTTAAAAAATAGAATTATTAATTATAATTTTATTTTTGGAAAATTTCAAGAATAAATTAAATTAAATTAGCTAAACTGCGAGTAATTTAATAATTTGTTTACGTTTTAAATTATAATTTTATAATGTAAATAATAAATTTTAGAATTTTAATGAAATAGTGAAATTTATAAATTTTATATTATAATTATTTGTTTTCTGTCCTGTATTGTAATAAATATTCTTAATAGCTATATGTAATTTGCTGTAAATTTTAAGGACTTATCGCAGTTTTCAAATTAGAAAATACAAAAAATACTTGAATTATAACCGAGGAAGGGTATATGGCCCCGAAATGTACTGTACAGTACTGTACATATTGATTTAATAAAATCTGAGTGAGCTTTCCAATTGAAAACTGTGTGATAAGTCCTTAAAATTTACAGCAAATTACATATAGCTATTAAGAAAGTTTATTATAGATTTTGATTTTTTATGACCTGAAAACTTAGACAAATCATTTATATATGATTTTAAACATTTATTCAGCAAAATTACGAATAATTGTAAAATTGTTATTATAAAAATGTAAATTTTCTTAAATTTATTTACGAATTTAACACGTATTAATTTATAAATGTTCTTATAATTTGATGCATGCCTACGATTTAATTTTAAAACGTTTTAAATATTAAATGGCAATTAATTGTTTACATTATACAATTTTTTTTTTCTGAAGTGATGCTCAAGCAAGAATTTCGAACGTTAGTTTACGTCTTTTCATTTGTTTTACCGTAAAATAATTTGAAAAAAAATTTTTAAATCATTAATTGCAATAAAAATCATGTTGGCATTTGGTTTACATTTAACTCTAAAGACCTAGTTAACCATATTTAAACTAATACACTACCATGAATAGTTTATATTTTTCTATTTTTTTAAAAAAATACCAAGCGAAGGTCAAAGGAGATAAAAGGCTTATTTTAATTGCACTCAAGCGATTATATGGGCAAACACGGAAGTTTTAAAAACATTATATAACGAGATACAAGGTCGAATGATCATTTTTCATCCACAACTCAACATTTATGTTCTGCTGATGAGTATTGTTAACCATAAATGGGTAATTTGGAAGAAGTTGAAGAGTTTGAATTTCTGCACGGTAAACTATTTTAAATGGATGTAAAAATTTTTTATTTTTTAATGTTTAATGTAGGAAATTTATTTTAGAAAACTTAAAAGATTTTGTAATTATAAAATTAATTGAAATGAATTTATGAGAGGAATTTTTGATATCTTGACGAGAATTTTCCATCCCAGATACGAAGAAATGATTTTTTTAAATTTAGGTTAAAATAAAACAGTATAAATTTTAACTGATGTTTCATAAATTTCTTAATATATTTTTGAGGAAAATGCTAATTAAAAGTTTATTTCTAATACGAAATGTTTAAAAATATTTAAAAATTAATAAGCATCAACGAATGTCTGAAGTTTTTACAAATTTTTAAAAAATATTATTTTATTTTATTTATTTATTTAGTAAATTTAATTGTAAGCAATTATTACTTCATGTTTTTAGCTAATATGTCTGGAGTACTTCTGATTTTTATCGCTTCTTTTGCACCACATCTGACTATATCAAGAGGTAAGATATTTTAAAGATAAGATATCTTAAGTATACAATATTATAATTATGCTTAATTTTTAATTTTAGGACAAGCATGCTTCGGATTTGATACATTTGAGAAAATATTTTCAACTGGATTCAATCCACCAGGAGCGGTGGTTACAAAACTTGAACATGGAACTCCTGATGCTCCTACAAAGCATTGCTTACATTTATGTGGAGAGAAACGAGAATGTCTCTCTTTTACATTGGATTTGCAAAACAAAATATGCTATTCTCATAACGTGAATTCGTTGGGAAGTAAAGAATCTTTAACTACCGCTTCAAACAGCGTTTTCTTTGAACAAATCTGCTTCCAAAGAAAAGGTAATGGAAATTCAGCAAAGAATTTCTGTTAATTTCTTCATCTTTTCTGTATTTTAACTAATGATTATTTCAGATAGTACTGAACGTTGCAAAGAAAAGTTGTGGGCGTTTGAAGTAGAGAGGAATGCCTTCCTCGTAGGACACGTGGAAAAGGAATTAGACCATATCTTATCGCGTTATGAATGCGAAAAAAAGTGCTTCAACGAAGATATGTTTGCATGTCGATCTGCTGATTACGACGAAAGAAATAAAATTTGTAGGCTAAGCAAAGAAGACCGATGGACTCGTCCTGATGATTTCTTGCGAGATCAATCTGGAAGCCATCGATCTTATTTAGAAAACCAATGCATTTCAGCTGGTAAGTTTGATATTTTATACAATAAACTCATTAAATAAAATAAGTAAATGAAATGTAATGTATTAAAAAGCTAAAACTCTAAGAAATTCACTTCGCAATTATGGACTTTCTATGATCCAAAGTATAAGACATTATAATATTTCTTAATAATTGTTTGCTAGCGTAATTTTGTAAAAGCTATGTAGAAACTAATTCATAATTTTTTCTCTTATTTGCTACTTCTCAAAATTATTATAATTATTAACAATTTACTTAAAATATTTATTTAATGTTACTATTATTAGCTCCAACAGCTTGCCGTTTTCAAAATCAAGAAGGTTTTATGTTTCTATCTACCGATTTGATCAAGTTTGCAGATAACGTCGACGATTGTAGAAATCAATGTGAACAAGAACCGTCTTTTAACTGTAGAAGTTATTCGTATGTTGATAACAAATGCTTTCTAAGTAGTGACGGAACGTCTACTCTAGGATTCGAATTTCTCAAAGAAGAAAGTGGTGTAATTTTCGGTGAAAAGAGATGTGTAGTAGGTAAGAATATCGAATTATAAATAATTTATAATTAGCATAAAAATTTTAAAAAAACTTTTGGTGTATTATTTTCCAAAGATCGTTGTAACGATGGGACTGTTACATTCGAGAAAATCACTGGTTACATCTTGAGGTCTTCTGTAGAAACAAACATCGAAATACCTAGAACTGGTAGTACTTGGCTTCAAGGTATTACCTTAGATTGCTGGAAGCATTGCAAAGAATCTGCGGATGATTGCCCAGCTTTTACGGTCTCGTATCAAACACAAAGATGCCAAAAATTAGATAGAAATTCTCAAGGACGAATTGGAGATTTAACACCTAGACCGGGTGGAAATTATTTTGAGAAAATTTGTTTGAGAGGTTAGTAATTGAATTAATAAATTTCGCCTACGTTTTATTCTTCAACGTTTTTTCTCGAAACTCTATACTTTTTAAATGTCGAAAATCTTCTTTAAAACTTACTTATATCATAATTAAATTGTTAATTTAATAAATTTTTGGAAAATATTTTTTTAGGTGCCGAAGCAGAAGCATGCAAAAATAAAGCTTGGGCATTCGAGAGAGTTCCAGCATTCGAATTAGAAGAAAGTTTATACGATAGACATATACCAAATGTACAAAATAGAAGTGAGTGTGAAGAATTATGTCTAAGAGAAGTTACATTTGTTTGTCGATCAGCCTTTTATCACGAAGATGATCTTATCTGCAAACTAAGTCGTGAAGATCGAAGAACTCAATCACAGAAATATCATACCAATAACAATATAAGGACTAGTTACTTGGAAAATTCTTGTATTCCCGGTATGCATACTTTATTTTTTCTGTAATACTGTATTTAATGCATAATGTAAATATATAAACGATTTTATTCTTATGTTTGAAATTTATCAAATTTATTTTTTTAGTTTTGACAACTTGTCCCTATGAACATACTTTAGACCATTATTCAACATATACAGATACTGTTCATAGAGGAGCGATACAATCGCACAGCGACTGCGAGAAAGTTTGCGATGACTTTCAAGGTTTCAATTGTAGATCGTATGCTTATTACTCAGCTCAGGGTCAGTGCTTTTTCAGTGGAGACGACACAGTTAGCGTGGGGGGAAAGAAACTCAGTTTGCAACCCAGACAAGGTATCACATATTTTGAAAGAAATTGCAATTTGACTACCGAAATTACAACTGGTACACCATCTAGACCGCCTCCTACAACTGTTCCACCGCCAACTGCTCCCAGTAAGTAATTTCTTACTTGCACTATTTGAATTTTTGTTTAATCAAATATTGTTTGATTCCTGGCTTCCCTGTACTATTTAAACTCGTTATACAATATATATTAAATTCTTAATCTATTTGAAAATAAGGATAAAATTTTCAGTAATTGAAGCTTCAGTAAAACTTGTTATTGCTTATGAATAATTATACCATATCTAAAAGTTATTTTTTAATACAGTACAATAATTATTTTGCAAATTTTTGACCTCATTCTATAGAATGCAATGATGAATTACTTAAGTTATAAAAATATATAATTATGAAAGTCGAATCGAAAATATATATGTTGATCAAATTTTATGTTTAAATTGATTTTAATTTGTTATTTTTTAATAATATTTCAGAAACCGTATGCGCCAGTGGACAGAAATTGACTTTTGAGAAACTGATCGGGTTCGAATCTATTGGAAGTTATCCAATTTATTTATATCGTAGCACTTTCCAAATTCCGGGAATAACATTAGAATGTCTTCGTAAATGCGAATTAGACTCAGATTGCGAATCATTCGTCTTAGATTACGAACGTTTCGAATGTTACAGATTTAGCGATTTTGGTCCAGTTAATATTAGACCTAATAAGGGCAAGAGTTACTTTAAATCATTGTGTATATCAGGTACATTTTATATAATATTATAAAATTAAATTAAATTACTAAAATAAAATTTACATACAAGATATTTCACAAAAATATTTTTGTATCTATTTCTCTTAAATGTTTCAGACTACTTTTAAATAGATTTTATTGATATTTCGATTGAAACGTAATAAGACGTTTAATAATTACATATTTCATAAATGAAGTGAAGAAGTGATTTTAGAAGAGAACTAATAATGAAATGTAAATGCACTATTAATTAATTGATAAATATAATGGGGCTAATTTTATTGTCAAAGGAAGCGTTTGGAATTGGCTTTCCTGTCTTACTAATATGTGTTATACAGGAAATACTGTTTTATAGGAGATCCATTTTATTTAGCTTCCTTCGGGTGATTTTTCTGTTGAGTTTATATTACAATGAAGTCAATAAATATGAAATAATAATGACAGGTATCTGTAGAATATAATCTATATAGCCTATAGTATAGATTTTATACTATAGATTCTATAGAATCTGTAGTATCTATAAGACATTATAAGAGAAATATATTCATAAATAAATTGTTTTTAAAATCCTTTTCAAGTTAATATCTGTTTTCTTTTTATTTTATTTTCAGTAATTGCTAAAATTAAAATGATATTTGCTGAGAATTGGATATATAATTTTAATGTTATTTTTAAAAATTAGAATATAATAATACTTTAAACGTGTAAAGAATTGATAGATAAATAAGTGAACTAATATAGTCGTTTCAGCGCTGAAAGTGTAGAAAGAGTAAAAATAATATAATATTAATGATATAAAAAAACTAGAGAAACTTTATTGAATTTCATCTTCTCGATTTTCAACTCTATATCTAGAATAAACGATTGGATATTATCAAAAGTTTTGTGATGTTTATAAAATTTTAAAACTGTTTGGTTATATATAAATATCTAAAGAACCGAATCAATAATAAATAAATTTTTTAGAATTTTTTTATAATTTTACTTTTATCTCAGAGGATGAAAAATATATTTGTATATATCTCTGCATATATTATCTTTCATGATTTATGGTTGACACTAAGCTAAACACTAAACATTAGGATTAGTAAAGTTAAAATTATAATAATAAAACTTGAAAAATGTTTTCGCATTTATCTTAATTTTCTGCTATCAAATAAAACTATAAAATTATCGCTACGTAAAGATAATCAGTAGGTTACGAGTATGCTTGAAAACATTGAGAGCCTGAATTTGAACGAAAGAAATTATTATGAATTTTATTTATTTATTAAAAATTTATTAATATAATACTAGATTATTATAAATATTAATTAATTTTTTCCAACTAAGAATATTGTAGTTTACGATTGTTTACATATATATAATTTGCTTTATGTATCTATAAAAGATGGAAATAGGTTCCTTCTATGATAACAATTTCTGTCTTGTTTCATATAGATCCTTGCCTTATGATGTAATTTATTATTATTTTAATTTTAGCTTTAATTCCGTGTGAAAAACTTTGGGCTGTTGATATATTAATGGATAGAGAACTGAGAGTGACAAGACCAGTCGATGTCATACGACAGGTGAATCGAGAGGAATGTGCACGTAGATGTTTGGAAGAAAGAAGATTCCGCTGCAGGTCGTCAAATTATTACAGTTTTCGCAGAGAATGTACACTTTCTACCGAAGATAAAAATTCACCAGTTGCAGAACTGCATTTCTCTGCTGGAGTAGATTATATAGAAAATCAATGCATTTCTGGTAAGATGTATATTTAAAATACTTTAAGATCATATTCTACACTGTAATAACTAATTATTTATTATTCAGAAACGTCAAATTGTCCATATCAGTCACCAGAAATAGGGATTTACATGTGGTATGTAGATCGTACTCTTCATGGCATCGTCACTTCACAGCAATGCGAAGAAGAATGTGATAGAGAAAGAGCATTCAACTGTCGATCTTATAGCCACGTTGATGGAACTGGCGAATTTAAATGCTTATTAAGTTCTGATAATAAAGAAAGTTTACCGAATACCGCATTTGAATTACGCCACAAATCCTTATTTGCTCAAAAGGATTGTAAAAACCAAATTACAAGATCCGTTCCACGTGAGACACCTATCCTAACTCCTCCAGTAGTACCTCCTACTCAAAGACCAGGTGTATGTACTTTCGATAGATATACTTACGAGAAAATAGTGGGTTACGATCCTCGTCTTTTAAGAAAGCACAGAATACCCATTATCGATAGTGTAGGCATTTTGGGGCAATGCCAACACGAATGTCAACGAATGGGAGACAGATGCAAAGGATTTGTAATTCTTTACACGCCTGTGCAGATTTGTTATTGGTTGGAAGTTGCTGCATCAGAAATTACAAATGCTCTCATGCCGTCTCCTCTTGCTGCTTACTATGAGAAAGTTTGTTTAAGAGGTAAACAATTGTAAAATGCAATTCTTAATTTAAACATATGTTTAAAAAAATAGATTTCTTTCATAATTTTTACAGCGATAAGGATTTAGTTAAACTTAAATTGTTATATTCTTACAGATATGGGTTGTGGAAAGTATTGGACGTTTGAAAGAGTTATAGGGCACCAAATGAAAGGAACAGCGCTCATGGATATACCAAGTATACCAGAAAGAACTGACTGTGAAGATTTATGCATCAGAGACAAGAACTGTTTGTCTGCTAATTACTTTTATAAATTAAAGTTATGTCGACTTTTTTCTGAAAGTCGGAGGAGCCAGCCTTCTGCTGTTGTGAAAAGTGAAGATGTAGATTATCTTGAAAATCAATGCATAAAAGGTAAAGTGTGTGATATTAATTATAAATTACACTTCAGAGAGACTCTTTCTTCAAATTTCACTTTATTTTAGAGCCTCCCACGTGCCAATATAAAGATTATCCAGATCGTTTCTTTCCTTACATCGATAGACTTTCTAGAGCTCACGACATACACGACTGTCAGAAACAATGTGATCTAGAAAGACGATTTCGGTGCCGTTCTATAAATTACGAAACTATGACTAGGCATTGTGCCTTATCTAGCGAAGATTTGGCAACGGTGGGCGATAGCAGAGATCTTCTACAGTTTCGAAGACAGTCGATATTTAGCGAAAAGGGAAACTGTGAACAAGGTAAGAATTAACTTGAAAATATTCAACTAGTTTATAGATTATTCTGTAAATGAATGCGGTGTCTTAATGATAGGAAGTGGTATTACTGTATAGAAAAACCTATATAGCAAATATTCTTATAAAAATAAATACGCTTTTCGTAAATTTTGCTCAAAATTTATTTTAATAAAATATTAATTGAAATAGAAATAAAGAAACCCGCAGATATTATAATAGTAATACCTAAATCGTTGTAAATATCAATCTTTTCAAACGCAGTTTCATTTTTAAATTGAATAACAGGATTTGTGTGATTTTTTTATAATTTATAAAATTTATTATGATAAAAATTCAATATATGAAATCATCCCTGAGTATTTCTGATGGTATTAATAACTTTATAGAAAATAGAACGGCTAAGATCGAAAACAATATAATTAAGTGCCGGAATAGTATGCAAATTTTTCTATTTACAACAATTAAAAACTTTTTAAAGTTTTTCTATAATAAATCTTAAATATTTGTGAGGGTTTGCTTTTACTTCCGTCAGGCCCGAACGGTCAGCCTACGCAAACCTAAACTTATGATAAATTGACATACCTGGGAGGAAGATGAATGTCGCGTAGATCCTGATAGAGAGCGACAACTTTTATTAACAAGTTAAACATTTGTTTAAACCGAAAGGAATCAACTTTACGACACTACTCGACAGAGAGAGAGAGAACATTGCGACCGACCGATGTCATCCGAATTTGCGATGTGCGAACAAGAACAGTGACGACTCGAACTCGGACACAATCAGACAGATGTTCGAGTAAAGAAAGTTTGGAGATTTCTTGAAGTAATCTTACTATCGAAACTTCCGACATTTTTTACACTTTTAGCAGCGAAAAAAAGAAGGAAGTTCCATTATTCTGCCGAAGGTGGTTCGGACTTCCATTTTCTCTCTTCTCTTCTTTATCATCGTTGACTTTGCTCAAGACTCTTCTTACCGTATCTCCTGGTTTTTATTCTCCTACTTCCATCCTTTATTATTCCATCCCTCGTTATTCTTTTTTCCTGGGGCTAGCCAATCGACGTTGGTTTTGGGGCCCAGCTTTCTCCTTCGGGCCAATTATAATTCTTTTTTTTTTTTGCATTTTGTTTTCGGTTCCAGGGGAAAATGGATGACACAGAAGCGTTATCGCATGAGACGATCGCGATAACGCCTCTAACTTAGGCTTAATATCCTAACTTAAACTTAAGCTTAATTCATTACTTTTACAATTAAATAAACTCCATAATTACATATTTTAAACCTCGCACGTTTACACATTTATGACTCTGGATTTGAAAAAGTTTTAGTAGATTTGAATAAGCCATTTAATACATCACTTCTTAAATAGACAACCAGGAAATGATTAGAATAAGTAAACAGCAAAGAATAATTTTTTTTTAAATTTGTAAGAATAAATTTAGAGAAAATATTATTTTTTTGTAAATTTACATTTATTAATAAACGTTCAGAGAAATTGTGAATTCAACTTAAATTATTTAATTATCATTTCGATTCATTTGAAATTGATTGAAATGATGAAGACCACATTTTCTGATAAATGAAATGTTTTTACTTTTTTAATATAATTATTTCTGATGATTTTTACACTGTATGCCTATACACAGAAATGTTTCCTGATAATAAAGTAATTTTCTTGTTAGAGAAATTTTATTTTAAACATTACTTACCATTTAAAAACTGTAGAAAAGGATGACAAATTAAATAAAGAGGGAATATGTCTAATTTTTAAGTTTTTCTACAATTAGAAAGTTATTCCTGTTATATACTTGGAAAAATTTTAAAAATTACTTCGTAACAGAATTAACATATCTAAAACGTTATTGCTTGATGTTTATTGTTCAGATCGTTTAACTTAGTCTTCAAGGAAAGTTTTCTCGTAGACTAATAAACATATTAATTTTACTATTAATTCATGCTTGACTGTATCAGCAATGTTATGATTCTCTTGTATATTAGCTTGCTATTGCACGTTTCGTTAGCGATGAGAATGGCAAACTTCTTGGAAACCGACTGTAAACTAAATGTGAAAATATCAAGCTGGCATTAAATTTTTGGATTTATAACCATCTTATAAAATGATTTTTAATAAAACTATTTTTTTGTCATGAAATAAAGATGACAAACTTTTTAGAGGGATTTTTCCCTTGTAAAAACATTCTTTCACCTGTGAAAACATAAAGCATACTGACTCAGTTTTTTTATGATGTATTTTACTGTAATAAAATTAATTTTCTTACCGTTTTTAGCAGTAAAGAATTATATTTCAAACAAACAAAAATAACTTAGTATAGATTATACTAACGGTTAAATATAATCAAATTTTTATGATGTAATAATTGCATTTTATTCCCACAATAACTTTTCTTTGCCTCTCCTATAAAAGATTTCGCTCCTCATTAAGAAGGTGTGAACTATTGTGATAAGGAGTAGCTTTCTAATTGGAAAAAATGGTTTAACAAAAAAGTATTTGGTTAGAAATTATTATAACCTTTATGTTTAACATAGGTTAACATACACTATTACAACTTTCAAATAATAAATAATGTAATTAAAAATTAAAATTACACTCTCAATTATATTTGAGTTTATATCCCGCTTCGTTGAAAGATTTTTAAGAAATAAACTCAAATATAATTGAGTGTAATTTTAATTATAATTATGAAAATCGCTGCAACAAAGATTAGGATAAATAATTTCATTACCTTGAGTGTGTTAGGAGTATTTCATCATTACTGTGATTAAATTTATCATAATATACCTGATGAAAATGAAGATAGTTTTGAGTCAGTTTTCTAAAACGAAAGTACTTAAATAACATTTTAAATACTTTTTATATACCTGATTTAATTATATCAGAGATATTAAATAAATAAAATAGTCAATATTATAGACTTAACTATGATTTAAAAATTACTATAATTATCTTTGTAATTTATAAAATTGTCATGAGATGAATAAAATTATGAAAAATGGTACTGATGTATATATCTGTATCACTTTTTAGTCTTATATTATTAATCATTTTCTATATTTTTTAATTGAAAAACTATATCGAATTTTCTTCGTTCGAAATTAGTTTTATTTAATTTCATTATATATTTTTAATGCACAAATAATTAATTTTTCTTCTATATAGTTAGCGTTCAGTGCAATCAACAAGACATGATATTAACAGTTAATTTTGCCGTACCATTTAATGGACGAGTTTATGCTAAAGGAAATCCTGCACAGTGTTACATGTTAGGTACTGGTCAGCAATCATTACAGTTTGCTGTTTCAATGGGAAGCCGTTGTGGAACTAAACTTGAGGTAAATGTGTTTTAAATAAGGAATTATAACAATATAAATCATAAATTAATGTTTGAATGTAAGTAATTTGTTATCGTTATAATTTATAGGGTCCTGATCTTTATGTAAATGAAGTAGTAATTCAACAACATCCGGTTATAATGACAGATAACGATAAAACAATTCGAGTTATGTGTTCTTTTGAACCCAGAGAGAGGACATATACTTTAGGAAATCCATTACAGTCTGATCATCCAGCCATGGAAGTAGCGTAAGTGCTTACAAAAATAAACGAATATCAGTTATTCACAAATTTTAAAAAATTATTGTAATGTTTTTCTTTAGGACTTTGTTTCAGCATCCAATTAAATCAGTAGTCACCAATACTGTTCCTCCTCCGAATGTTGTCATGAGAGTTTTGGATCATCAAGGTCAAGATGCTCGAAGAGTTGGACTAGGAGACGAATTAACTCTTCGAATAGAATTGAGGGAAATTAACAGTAATAAAAAATTAATAAAATGTTTATATTAAAAGTAATTATTAGTCCTCAATTCACGTTAATTTTTCTTTCTGTTTCAGGTGCTTTCGCTCTGCATGCTAAAAATTTATATGCAAGAAGTACTAAAGGCGAAAGCCTTTTTCTCATCGATGGCAGAGGGTATAATTATATTGTTATATAAATATTTTAAAATATTTATAAAATTTTAAACAAAATTTACCATTAGATGTCCAAATGATCCCAGTATTTTTCCAACTCTTCAAGTGGATCAAAGAGATGGAAAATCTCTTTATGCTAACTTTAAAGCTTTTCGCTTTCCGTCAACTGGGATGGTCAACTTCGAAGTACAGATAAAGTTTTGTCAAGATCGATGCGAACCAGTAAGTTATATAACGTTGTAAAGATTTGTTTTGAAATGTAAATGAAATTAATAATTAAAATATTTACAGGTTATTTGTAGAAATGGAGCAAGATCTCATGGAAGACGAAAAAGATCTTTACATGATAATTCTAATCAAGAAATTCTTTCCCTAACAACACAGTTTCCGTTTCAAAAGAATCAAACTTTCAAAAATAATTACATGTTAAATTCTTCTTTATCGAGTAATACATCTGCTATCTTCGAGAGAAAATCACGACTTAAATACCAGAATGTAACTGCTCCAAAATTTTCAAGTTCAACCGCAGATTTTCAGAAACGAAATTTTATGAGGACTTCAAATTTTACCAGAGAGCAAAATATTTGGGAAAATTATTCAAAAATCGTTAACAATTCTACAAGCAAACCATTTTTTCAATCCCATTCTCCAAGGGAGTTAACACCTTCCGAAATGTCTAATTTAAATCGTCATTATTCTAGAGATCAAGATTATACGCATTCCTATGATAACAGACAATTTGACAGACCATCCGAAGGATTTGGTCCTCACTATCGTGAATATCATCAAAATTTTCGTCAAGATTTTCGGCCAAATTCACCTCCTCCTCTTTATCCACCATATTACAATAATCGCGGTACAGAACATCAATACAATCAATTTCAATTCCATTACACAGATCAACAATTTGATGATCATAGAATGCGTCCCGCTTCTCATCCAAGACATTATCATTCTTCACATCAATTACATTCTTCTCCAAATTTTCAAATTCGTGATCGTCCTAGCAACGACAAATCGTTTTCTGAATTGCAAAGTTCTTCGATACGTGTAATTTCCAAAGATCGAGAATACGAGAGGCCTTTAAACAATCATAATGGACCTATATCAGTTCATTCGTCTACACCTTACTCGCAGCAGCAGCATGTATTTAATCCTCAAATTCCTAAAGAACGTTACGACTTTCCTCCCAACGTCCATAATGTACCCAATTCTCCAATGTCTCATAATTATCCTAGCCCATGGCCCGGATTTCGTGTTTCAAATCCAGATCAAGCTCCTAATTTGCATTACAGGAATCCTTACAATAACAATCAGAATTCGAATACTCGAATTTGGACTTCTAATAACGCTCAACCTTCAAGAGAAGAGACAAAGAAAAATTCTTCTTATACACTACATCATCCCTCTTCTATTCGTAAAGAAAATCGCAATTTCTCTAGATCTCCACCTGTTCATACCCGTCTACCTTCACCTATACATCCACCAATTCTGAGAAACTCTAATGTGAAAAACTCTTCTCGTCCATCTCTCATTTTACAACCACCTCCAAATAATTCTCAAACTATAAATATGGATAGGAAAAATCCAATAAACGCTCCTCCCTATTTAAATTATCCGTCAAACAGTAATATGAATGCAGGAAACAGATTCCCTCCTAGAAACCACCACTGGAAACCAGAAGAGAACAAATCTAGACCAACGTATAAATCGAGGCCACCACAAAATAATCACAGAATTCCACCTAAAGATGAGAAACATACCAATCTTCCTGACGAACTTCCATTATCTTTTGCTATCATGGTTGGAGAAGATCAACCAATGGCTGATAAATCTGCTTGGACTTTAGAAAGAAAAACTAGACCCCCGCCAACAGGTAACTAAATGTAATTTTTATAATTAACTTTATGTTTTCAATTACTAAACATTAGTTTTATCTTAGTTTTACCAGAAATATCAGAAGATACGGTATGCACTTCAAAAACAACTGTAGTAGTCACGGTGACTGCAGTTACTGTCTTGTATATAGGAGCGGCAATAGCGGCTATATTTTTCTATCGTTGGAGACGAAAACAAAAGAGAAAAAAGAGAAGATATATCGATCCTCAACCACGTTCTCAACCGAATAATTCTGATGTAACGTATGCCAGTCCTGAAGTCACTTTCAGAAGTATTTATGGGGCATTCCCAAATGAAAGCTAAAGTTATCTGTGATGATAAATTACTTGATGATACTTGAGAAGTTGGAGGTAGGTTTTTAGTATGAGACTAAGAACACAAAATTCGTATATAAAATAATTTTATGTACGAGTTTTATAATACTAAATGAGAATTTTAAAAATATTCACGTGTAATTGTGTATACCTTGCGTATAATTTTGCATATTTTGCATATTATATTTTCAAATTATCAAGAACATTTTGCAGGATATACTCTTATACGAATGAAGTTAATTTCAAGATATTTAAAATATAAATTTATAACTAAAATACTGATAAAAAGAAAAATTGGAAATTACATTCAAAATTCAATTATTTCTCAAGTATTAATCAAGAATAAAGAAAAATTCGCGTTGTAAAATATCTATACGAATATTTGTTTTACTATTTTTATTATTTTATTTTTTAATTTAAAAAAAATGACGTTTGTAATGTTTTTGGGAATAAAATTATTACGAAATTTTTAAAAAAATGTTTCAATTAAAATTATTGTATTTTTTAAAAAAATAATTAAATAAATTTATTTACGGAACTTAAAAAATACATTTAATCGTGTAAATGTTTTAAATGTAAACTTCTCTAGTTAATAAACTTGTGAATATTTGAAGTAACCAATAACGATAGACTATTTTATGTAATTGACCAATGACGATGGACGAGCATCTATAACTTATACTGTTTATATGTAATAGTACATTCATTTATTAATATAATAACGTAATTTAATTATTTTAAAAAATTCTCCTTTTAAGGGTACAGATATTAATATAACTGATTACAGTAAAAATATAGTAAAAAGGATTTTAAAATACTGTATACAATGGAAGTTAACAAATAATGATTTCTAGGAGTCCATTTTGTATAGAAAGGTTATAAATTTTAAAAGGTCGCGAATGATTGAGAAAGTTATTTGGCTTAAAATAAAATAAATAAAACTATAAAAGCCCTATTGTTGTTCTTTGTCACTTAAGACAAAAATCTCTTAAAGGAAAAACAAAAAATGTCAGTAGTACCGTTACCATGACGACAATGACTGTCCAATGGAGAGAACATAAGTAATCCTTAAAAGGATCAAAGGATTTAAAACTTTTTGGATAAACCGAAACGATTGAATTGATAAAAAAAATAATAAAAAAATATTTGTTAAGTTTAGCTGTCATGCAACATATATTTGCTTTTGATGTTTTCATTAGTACTAAAATAATAATAAATGTTGTAAGATATTAAATCTATGATTTCTTGTGGTATAAATTAGTTCATAATTTCTCATTATGTTTGCGAATTAGCCTAATTCTCAGACTAGATCCATTCAATTACACTATTATGAACTATTGATACTAGATGATGAGAAACATTGAATCGATTCATTTGATACTCTAATAAATCTTAGACTAATTTACAAATTATGTGAACTAAACGATAATTTCTGTAATGTTATGTTAATTTGTTCGAGTTTTATCAATTATTATATAACCTTATTTGAAATTAGTCTGTAAATTTATAAAGATGTCTACATTATAGCATATGTCTTACTCATAAACACATATATATCATAGGCCTATATATATATAACTTCATAACTAATATATGTAACGTTTTATAATCTTGTATATACATATTCAAAGTATTATATAAATTAGTTTTATTGCTCTTAATCTGTAAAATATAAAATAACTATAAAATTTTTAAACCATTAAATAAATTAATTAAATTTTCCCATAAGTTTTAAATACTATCAAAGCAAATTTAAAGAAGTTAAATTAATTATCTTAGTATTTTCTCATAGTTTAGATCATTAATTAGCTTAAAAATTTAATTACTTAAGTTATAACACTGATTTAATTAGACAGAAAATTGTTAAAGTCTTTTAGATTTCGAGAATCCCTAGAGTTATTAACTTTAGGAAAATTATGTAAAGTATTAATTTAACATGATTATGATTTAATGATTATATTTAGATATTAACAATCAAAATAAAATCTTATAGAATAATTAATCCTGATGAAATTACTTAATTAATTATTAATTATTCAAGAAGAATAAATTGATTTTCAAACAAATTAGGCATCCTACACTAATTTTAATTAATAAAATTTCTAAACAAACGAATTAACAGATTTTAAATTTGAAAAAAAACCGATTATCCAATAAACACATATTTCAATATTAGCTGTCCAATCAGCATTTGACAAGATAAGACGTAATAAATCTTTTTTTATTTTCTCTTTTTTTTACATAATTTAAATCGTTTCTTTTAACGCTTAACGTAAAATGTAATAAATCTAATGTAACGTAAAAAAAATTAAAAAAACGCATCATTTTACGAATATTTTAAGTGTTTAAGTCATTAATTAATACGAATTTTTCTTTTCTTCCTCCTTATCTCTTTTATGTCCGTCATTTTCAAACCTAATTTACTAATATCGGAACAGGTAAAAGTTTTATTAATGGAGTCATTAATGTCATTGGTTTCTTTTTATATTATTATCTTTTATCCCCTTCGAGCATCTGGTTCAGATCTGAGCTTTAAAAAAAATAAAATAAAAATAAAATTTAAAAGAAGAAAGTTGGAACCAATTGATTGATGTATCTAATCTTCTCTCGCCTTCTTTTCAGATATACATAATTTTATTTTATTATTTTTTATTGGTAAAAAATGTTCTCTGTTTAAATAATAATAATTTTAAAATAATTGTTTTGTAGCAATGATTTTTCTACTTGAAAAATGTAATTTTTCTTAAAAGTTGAATCAAATTTATATTTTTGATAGAAACCAATTTCTTTGGTACACATAAGATATGTTTATATTACTCTATCTCTCTACCTTATCACGAAATATAAGTAATTTTAATGAAATATGGTACGTATATATACATATATATACACTTTACAATACCCTATCATTTAAGTATCACACTTGCTATTGTATTAATTCTGTAACTTACCGCTTAAAGGCGTTATAAAAGCCATCACGTCGGCCATTTTTCATCCTCGACATTATCGAGATCGGAAATATAGATAAAACTTCTACTATAGGTCTCAACATCCGAGAATTTATGATTCACCTGAGGCTACTCTGTCAAAATTCTGGGTTTTTTTTATTTACTTATTTTTGATTTTTTTTAAAATAAATGTCTTGTCATTTTAGAAATTATAATTAATTATATACATATATTAAAAATTATAATTAAGTTTAAAAATTATTTTTTTAAATAAAGTAACGGTGTTTAAAAATTAAACTGGTTGTTGTTACGTTTTCGTGTTTTGATCGAGTGATGTCAACATGTATTTTGATAAAGGACCCTTTGGCTATATTTAATTAGAATCTGGTTAATTTGATGTTTGTAGATAACGGATGAGAAAATGCCTATCGTTCTTTTCACATGCATAAGTTAAAATAATCGTTTTTAAATGTAGATATAAGTGTAATGATCATTATAACAAGAAAAAATTAAATTATAAAAAAATATACTTTTAATACATTAAACAGAAGTAATATTTAATATGCGAAACACCTTCAAACTGGAAAATAAACTCGTCTGCTGTAATTAACACATAGGCCATGTAGCCTACTATCTTCTCATTCGAGTAAGACTATAGTATATTTAAACGTAAAATATAATAATAAAAAATTTATTTTATGTTTTAAATTCTAAATTATTTTATAATTAGTAGTATATTAATACATACGTATGTAATCGAATCTTTAAATAATTTCGATAATAAATATTATTACAGTATTTTGTTTTTTTTTTTTTTTTTATTAAGGAAAATATATCGTTAGTATATGGCGCCATCTGTTGATGGAATTGACTAAAGATAATGCGACAAAAACTTTTAATTAAATTAATTTAATTAATCTAAATAAAAATTGCACGTTTTAATGGGTTAAATAAATAATAATGAATTAGCTATTTGATGAAGAAATTAATCATTTTCTTTTCTGAATAACTTTATAATTAAACTTTCTCAATCTATAATTTTAACATTAAAGATTGAAGAAAAAAACGGGGAAAAATTGTTTTATAAATCATTTAAAATGAAAGAAGCATAAAAAAAATTCATTTTGACTTATAAATGGCAGAATGATATTAAATTTAGTTTAGTTTTTATCTGAAAACAATTTTTTATAACATTGTTTTTTATCACTAGAAAGATATTTTAATGTATTAGAATTTTATTTTATTTTTTTAAGTGTATTTTTTGCAAAAAGAATTTATTTAATTTGTCTCAGTTAGGAAACAAAACAATTAATAATGAATTCGGTAGGATGAAGAAGAAGATTAAAATATTTATCGCATCCAGAATAAATATTTAATACAGAAATATGATAAGAGAGGGCATTACGTTTAATCAGAAGATGTATACATTAATTATACAAATGATACGGTATTTATATAATAATTCTAATCTGTGTGGATGACTTTTCCATAATTTCCATCACGTAGTTTCCTTCTGCTCTTATCAATAACGAGCGCGATGGTTGATAGGTTGACGAGTAGAGCTTCCTGAATCGACAAAAGGTTCTGATTCCTGAATGACTTCCAGAGTCATCAGCAATAGATGACTCTCAATTTGACGTCAGATCACGCAAAGTATCATTTTGCACCAGATAAATTCTGGTTATTTTTCCCTACTATGATTAAAGAAAATTTCTAGATATAAAAATTTCTTGATAGATGGTATCGATAATAGAATTTTTTCCATATTTATATACTTAAAATATTTTATTGTATATAGAAAGGAGTGTTCTTTAGATTAATTATTATACAAATTAAAAAGTTTTTAAAAATTTAATTAGTTACGTAATAATAGTAATTAAAATTTTAAATTATGACGCAACAATTAAAAAGTTTCTTTTCTAGAACGTGACTAATGATCTAGAAATATTAATTGTTGCAAGTGACGTCATAATAAAACTTCACAGAGAGGCGCTGTGACGTAACAATTAAGTTATGAACGATTGCCATTTCGATCGCGATAACGCTAACAAAAATTCTACTGGAGTTTAGATAAAATTAAACCTTTTTTCTAACAATTTAGCGATTAAATTAATATAATTTTTATTTAAAATATTAATATATAGTCTATATTTTTTTATTTAAGTGAATATTATTATTATTATTTGTGGCGATACCGAATCGATTCGCATTAACCGAAATATTACATTACTCGAGTTAATAGCGGTTAAAAATTGATCGATATTTCGGAAGATCATTTGGAGATAATGACGCATAAGATACCAGAATGGACTGATCGATGATCTCGGTCAAGTAGAAGCACCGTTAGCACCTTCACCAATAGTTTATATGCAGCCGAATCTACACACCAAACTCATATAATTCGATTTGTAACCTTCCTGTAGATAAATGTATCAATTAGTGAATGGTTTCCTAAGGTTAAATGAATTCTAATCAAGTAGTCATAGTAAATATTTCTATCAATGTCTCACTGACTGATAACGATTACTATGAGGTGACACTTGGACATCTTTAATTAGACGAAAGCGGGACTGAAAACCGTCCTCAATCCCTGTTAATTGTCTATCGTAAATCTTAATGCTACCAGTTCGCATTAAAGGGGATTAGTAAGAACAAAGATATAGAGATGTAACCTGTGACGAAAAATATCTTCAAGGTGCCGAGTATGGATTACGTACTAACAACGTAAACTTTTGTATACGTTGCAAATGAGTAATGTAACAGTTCTAATTAATGCATTTAAACGATACTTTTGTATCTGCTGTTCAAAAATTGTATCTTCTGTAATTATATTTGCTTTATTAATTTTAAAAGATTTTAATATTTTTAAAAATCTTATGAATTTTAATTTAGGAAGTCGGAAAATTTTACTGTAGATTATCAAGCAGATACATTAATTTCATTTATGCATATTGAATTATTTATGAAGAACCGAAAATTTTTCCAAGTTGTAAAGTGTTTCAAAGAACGAAAGCACTTTACATAATTTTAAAAGGAAAATTTTATTATGAATGATGCTATATCAATTTACTTGACATTCTGTTTACATATCCGGTATGTTTAGACATAAAGGAAATTAAACTGATGAAACAAGGGAGAAAGATGAAATATTTCAATAACAAATATGTTTGCCTTGATTTTATAGTTTTAACTTTATTAATGATATTTTCATATTTTATTGGTTTCACTTTTTTAGCGTTGTCATCTCTTTTGTGATAACTTTAAACTCTGCTTTTGTCAATTTAATGTGGCTGAAGTTGATGATACAGTCATGAATTTTTTAATGATTCAATCTTCTTGAATTGAACAGATTGCGTATTCTATAATTCTAATAATATCGCTGTTTATTATTTTATTTAAATACAAACAATTTTTTAAAATAAATTCGATTATTTTTTGATGAAGTAAATTTTAAAAAATACATTGTTTATATCGTTTTTTGTAAGTCATATTAATGAATGCATCTCATTGCTTTGCGAGTCGCGTCGAAATGGATGCAAAAAAATTCTTGAATTATTATTAAATTTTTTTAATGCAATAATACAATACAGTATACGAATTAGCAAGTTAATGAACTATTTTAGAAATTCAATGATTGTTATTCTCTAGACTATGTTTACAAATTAACAACTTACGTCTGTAATGAAAAGTATCTAGTCTATTCGCATGAATATGGTATTACCCTTAACAATTTTGCTCTTAACAGTCTACTTATAGCCAGTCTATCTCTACATTTACGTTAAGGAGCAAAAATATTTTCAAATTTATATTTTAAATAGGCATAATTAGGTTAAACACACGATTACAATTAAGAAATTTGCGATACGAAGCGATCGCGCGCGCGAAACGAATGCAGCAAGCTTCATTTAAAAATATGAAAATGTAAATGAACCATTTCCTGGTCGGATGTAAACATTTTAACCTTATTTTCGACCCCGATCAACTTTAAAATGCTATAACATTAACGTAATGATGTTTATGTTGAATAGAATCTTTGTTGTGCAATATTATCATTGATACAAGATAAATGGAATTAGTTAAAGAGTTTTAATCCTCTTAGTATTCACTACGTTACTAGTAATGCGTTAACTTACATCAAAGCGCTTAAATGAATTTGCATATAGCGCTAATAGATTGCTTACATTGGCGTAAAATAATATCCAGCCATTTAGTAACATGTTTTTGGCAATCAATCAAATGATGCGTGTAAGATTTTAAAACAGTAAAAATCGCCCTTAATTGAAATGCAAATTTTAACGAAGAATTTTAATTAGGATGTGTGAATTATCGGATTAATATTTAAATGAAATAAATTACCTCCGCATATGCTAAACAAATATTCTAGAGTATTATGATATAGAAAAATATTCTAGAATATTTAAGTTAGGGAGAAAAAATATGTTTTGGAATTATGCGATATAAAATGTTCAATTGTGATAAATTATGGTACGAAAAAATATATATTATAGAGTAATATGATATGAAAACAACTGTCTTTTAGAATATTGTCGTATGAAAAATGCATTCAGGAATTTTTATAATATGAAAAAATAGGTTCTAGAGTTTTAGGTTNAAAAACTATATCGAATTTTCTTCGTTCGAAATTAGCTTTATTTAATTTCATTATATATTTTTAATGCACAAATAATTAATTTTTCTTCTACATAGTTAGCGTTCAGTGCAATCAACAAGACATGATATTAACAGTTAATTTTGCCGTACCATTTAATGGACGAGTTTATGCTAAAGGAAATCCTGCACAGTGTTACATGTTAGGTACTGGTCAGCAATCATTACAGTTTGCTGTTTCAATGGGAAGCCGTTGTGGAACTAAACTTGAGGTAAATGTGTTTTAAATAAGGAATTATAACAATATAAATCATAAATTAATGTTTGAATGTAAGTAATTTGTTATCGTTATAATTTATAGGGTCCTGATCTTTATGTAAATGAAGTAGTAATTCAACAACATCCGGTTATAATGACAGATAACGATAAAACAATTCGAGTTATGTGTTCTTTTGAACCCAGAGAGAGGACATATACTTTAGGAAATCCATTACAGTCTGATCATCCAGCCATGGAAGTAGCGTAAGTGCTTACAAAAATAAACGAATATCAGTTATTCACAAATTTTAAAAAATTATTGTAATGTTTTTCTTTAGGACTTTGTTTCAGCATCCAATTAAATCAGTAGTCACCAATACTGTTCCTCCTCCGAATGTTGTCATGAGAGTTTTGGATCATCAAGGTCAAGATGCTCGAAGAGTTGGACTAGGAGACGAATTAACTCTTCGAATAGAATTGAGGGAAATTAACAGTAATAAAAAATTAATAAAATGTTTATATTAAAAGTAATTATTAGTCCTCAATTCACGTTAATTTTTCTTTCTGTTTCAGGTGCTTTCGCTCTGCATGCTAAAAATTTATATGCAAGAAGTACTAAAGGCGAAAGCCTTTTTCTCATCGATGGCAGAGGGTATAATTATATTGTTATATAAATATTTTAAAATATTTATAAAATTTTAAACAAAATTTACCATTAGATGTCCAAATGATCCCAGTATTTTTCCAACTCTTCAAGTGGATCAAAGAGATGGAAAATCTCTTTATGCTAACTTTAAAGCTTTTCGCTTTCCGTCAACTGGGATGGTCAACTTCGAAGTACAGATAAAGTTTTGTCAAGATCGATGCGAACCAGTAAGTTATATAACGTTGTAAAGATTTGTTTTGAAATGTAAATGAAATTAATAATTAAAATATTTACAGGTTATTTGTAGAAATGGAGCAAGATCTCATGGAAGACGAAAAAGATCTTTACATGATAATTCTAATCAAGAAATTCTTTCCCTAACAACACAGTTTCCGTTTCAAAAGAATCAAACTTTCAAAAATAATTACATGTTAAATTCTTCTTTATCGAGTAATACATCTGCTATCTTCGAGAGAAAATCACGACTTAAATACCAGAATGTAACTGCTCCAAAATTTTCAAGTTCAACCGCAGATTTTCAGAAACGAAATTTTATGAGGACTTCAAATTTTACCAGAGAGCAAAATATTTGGGAAAATTATTCAAAAATCGTTAACAATTCTACAAGCAAACCATTTTTTCAATCCCATTCTCCAAGGGAGTTAACACCTTCCGAAATGTCTAATTTAAATCGTCATTATTCTAGAGATCAAGATTATACGCATTCCTATGATAACAGACAATTTGACAGACCATCCGAAGGATTTGGTCCTCACTATCGTGAATATCATCAAAATTTTCGTCAAGATTTTCGGCCAAATTCACCTCCTCCTCTTTATCCACCATATTACAATAATCGCGGTACAGAACATCAATACAATCAATTTCAATTCCATTACACAGATCAACAATTTGATGATCATAGAATGCGTCCCGCTTCTCATCCAAGACATTATCATTCTTCACATCAATTACATTCTTCTCCAAATTTTCAAATTCGTGATCGTCCTAGCAACGACAAATCGTTTTCTGAATTGCAAAGTTCTTCGATACGTGTAATTTCCAAAGATCGAGAATACGAGAGGCCTTTAAACAATCATAATGGACCTATATCAGTTCATTCGTCTACACCTTACTCGCAGCAGCAGCATGTATTTAATCCTCAAATTCCTAAAGAACGTTACGACTTTCCTCCCAACGTCCATAATGTACCCAATTCTCCAATGTCTCATAATTATCCTAGCCCATGGCCCGGATTTCGTGTTTCAAATCCAGATCAAGCTCCTAATTTGCATTACAGGAATCCTTACAATAACAATCAGAATTCGAATACTCGAATTTGGACTTCTAATAACGCTCAACCTTCAAGAGAAGAGACAAAGAAAAATTCTTCTTATACACTACATCATCCCTCTTCTATTCGTAAAGAAAATCGCAATTTCTCTAGATCTCCACCTGTTCATACCCGTCTACCTTCACCTATACATCCACCAATTCTGAGAAACTCTAATGTGAAAAACTCTTCTCGTCCATCTCTCATTTTACAACCACCTCCAAATAATTCTCAAACTATAAATATGGATAGGAAAAATCCAATAAACGCTCCTCCCTATTTAAATTATCCGTCAAACAGTAATATGAATGCAGGAAACAGATTCCCTCCTAGAAACCACCACTGGAAACCAGAAGAGAACAAATCTAGACCAACGTATAAATCGAGGCCACCACAAAATAATCACAGAATTCCACCTAAAGATGAGAAACATACCAATCTTCCTGACGAACTTCCATTATCTTTTGCTATCATGGTTGGAGAAGATCAACCAATGGCTGATAAATCTGCTTGGACTTTAGAAAGAAAAACTAGACCCCCGCCAACAGGTAACTAAATGTAATTTTTATAATTAACTTTATGTTTTCAATTACTAAACATTAGTTTTATCTTAGTTTTACCAGAAATATCAGAAGATACGGTATGCACTTCAAAAACAACTGTAGTAGTCACGGTGACTGCAGTTACTGTCTTGTATATAGGAGCGGCAATAGCGGCTATATTTTTCTATCGTTGGAGACGAAAACAAAAGAGAAAAAAGAGAAGATATATCGATCCTCAACCACGTTCTCAACCGAATAATTCTGATGTAACGTATGCCAGTCCTGAAGTCACTTTCAGAAGTATTTATGGGGCATTCCCAAATGAAAGCTAAAGTTATCTGTGATGATAAATTACTTGATGATACTTGAGAAGTTGGAGGTAGGTTTTTAGTATGAGACTAAGAACACAAAATTCGTATATAAAATAATTTTATGTACGAGTTTTATAATACTAAATGAGAATTTTAAAAATATTCACGTGTAATTGTGTATACCTTGCGTATAATTTTGCATATTTTGCATATTATATTTTCAAATTATCAAGAACATTTTGCAGGATATACTCTTATACGAATGAAGTTAATTTCAAGATATTTAAAATATAAATTTATAACTAAAATACTGATAAAAAGAAAAATTGGAAATTACATTCAAAATTCAATTATTTCTCAAGTATTAATCAAGAATAAAGAAAAATTCGCGTTGTAAAATATCTATACGAATATTTGTTTTACTATTTTTATTATTTTATTTTTTAATTTAAAAAAAATGACGTTTGTAATGTTTTTGGGAATAAAATTATTACGAAATTTTTAAAAAAATGTTTCAATTAAAATTATTGTATTTTTTAAAAAAATAATTAAATAAATTTATTTACGGAACTTAAAAAATACATTTAATCGTGTAAATGTTTTAAATGTAAACTTCTCTAGTTAATAAACTTGTGAATATTTGAAGTAACCAATAACGATAGACTATTTTATGTAATTGACCAATGACGATGGACGAGCATCTATAACTTATACTGTTTATATGTAATAGTACATTCATTTATTAATATAATAACGTAATTTAATTATTTTAAAAAATTCTCCTTTTAAGGGTACAGATATTAATATAACTGATTACAGTAAAAATATAGTAAAAAGGATTTTAAAATACTGTATACAATGGAAGTTAACAAATAATGATTTCTAGGAGTCCATTTTGTATAGAAAGGTTATAAATTTTAAAAGGTCGCGAATGATTGAGAAAGTTATTTGGCTTAAAATAAAATAAATAAAACTATAAAAGCCCTATTGTTGTTCTTTGTCACTTAAGACAAAAATCTCTTAAAGGAAAAACAAAAAATGTCAGTAGTACCGTTACCATGACGACAATGACTGTCCAATGGAGAGAACATAAGTAATCCTTAAAAGGATCAAAGGATTTAAAACTTTTTGGATAAACCGAAACGATTGAATTGATAAAAAAAATAATAAAAAAATATTTGTTAAGTTTAGCTGTCATGCAACATATATTTGCTTTTGATGTTTTCATTAGTACTAAAATAATAATAAATGTTGTAAGATATTAAATCTATGATTTCTTGTGGTATAAATTAGTTCATAATTTCTCATTATGTTTGCGAATTAGCCTAATTCTCAGACTAGATCCATTCAATTACACTATTATGAACTATTGATACTAGATGATGAGAAACATTGAATCGATTCATTTGATACTCTAATAAATCTTAGACTAATTTACAAATTATGTGAACTAAACGATAATTTCTGTAATGTTATGTTAATTTGTTCGAGTTTTATCAATTATTATATAACCTTATTTGAAATTAGTCTGTAAATTTATAAAGATGTCTACATTATAGCATATGTCTTACTCATAAACACATATATATCATAGGCCTATATATATATAACTTCATAACTAATATATGTAACGTTTTATAATCTTGTATATACATATTCAAAGTATTATATAAATTAGTTTTATTGCTCTTAATCTGTAAAATATAAAATAACTATAAAATTTTTAAACCATTAAATAAATTAATTAAATTTTCCCATAAGTTTTAAATACTATCAAAGCAAATTTAAAGAAGTTAAATTAATTATCTTAGTATTTTCTCATAGTTTAGATCATTAATTAGCTTAAAAATTTAATTACTTAAGTTATAACACTGATTTAATTAGACAGAAAATTGTTAAAGTCTTTTAGATTTCGAGAATCCCTAGAGTTATTAACTTTAGGAAAATTATGTAAAGTATTAATTTAACATGATTATGATTTAATGATTATATTTAGATATTAACAATCAAAATAAAATCTTATAGAATAATTAATCCTGATGAAATTACTTAATTAATTATTAATTATTCAAGAAGAATAAATTGATTTTCAAACAAATTAGGCATCCTACACTAATTTTAATTAATAAAATTTCTAAACAAACGAATTAACAGATTTTAAATTTGAAAAAAAACCGATTATCCAATAAACACATATTTCAATATTAGCTGTCCAATCAGCATTTGACAAGATAAGACGTAATAAATCTTTTTTTATTTTCTCTTTTTTTTACATAATTTAAATCGTTTCTTTTAACGCTTAACGTAAAATGTAATAAATCTAATGTAACGTAAAAAAAATTAAAAAAACGCATCATTTTACGAATATTTTAAGTGTTTAAGTCATTAATTAATACGAATTTTTCTTTTCTTCCTCCTTATCTCTTTTATGTCCGTCATTTTCAAACCTAATTTACTAATATCGGAACAGGTAAAAGTTTTATTAATGGAGTCATTAATGTCATTGGTTTCTTTTTATATTATTATCTTTTATCCCCTTCGAGCATCTGGTTCAGATCTGAGCTTTAAAAAAAATAAAATAAAAATAAAATTTAAAAGAAGAAAGTTGGAACCAATTGATTGATGTATCTAATCTTCTCTCGCCTTCTTTTCAGATATACATAATTTTATTTTATTATTTTTTATTGGTAAAAAATGTTCTCTGTTTAAATAATAATAATTTTAAAATAATTGTTTTGTAGCAATGATTTTTCTACTTGAAAAATGTAATTTTTCTTAAAAGTTGAATCAAATTTATATTTTTGATAGAAACCAATTTCTTTGGTACACATAAGATATGTTTATATTACTCTATCTCTCTACCTTATCACGAAATATAAGTAATTTTAATGAAATATGGTACGTATATATACATATATATACACTTTACAATACCCTATCATTTAAGTATCACACTTGCTATTGTATTAATTCTGTAACTTACCGCTTAAAGGCGTTATAAAAGCCATCACGTCGGCCATTTTTCATCCTCGACATTATCGAGATCGGAAATATAGATAAAACTTCTACTATAGGTCTCAACATCCGAGAATTTATGATTCACCTGAGGCTACTCTGTCAAAATTCTGGGTTTTTTTTATTTACTTATTTTTGATTTTTTTTAAAATAAATGTCTTGTCATTTTAGAAATTATAATTAATTATATACATATATTAAAAATTATAATTAAGTTTAAAAATTATTTTTTTAAATAAAGTAACGGTGTTTAAAAATTAAACTGGTTGTTGTTACGTTTTCGTGTTTTGATCGAGTGATGTCAACATGTATTTTGATAAAGGACCCTTTGGCTATATTTAATTAGAATCTGGTTAATTTGATGTTTGTAGATAACGGATGAGAAAATGCCTATCGTTCTTTTCACATGCATAAGTTAAAATAATCGTTTTTAAATGTAGATATAAGTGTAATGATCATTATAACAAGAAAAAATTAAATTATAAAAAAATATACTTTTAATACATTAAACAGAAGTAATATTTAATATGCGAAACACCTTCAAACTGGAAAATAAACTCGTCTGCTGTAATTAACACATAGGCCATGTAGCCTACTATCTTCTCATTCGAGTAAGACTATAGTATATTTAAACGTAAAATATAATAATAAAAAATTTATTTTATGTTTTAAATTCTAAATTATTTTATAATTAGTAGTATATTAATACATACGTATGTAATCGAATCTTTAAATAATTTCGATAATAAATATTATTACAGTATTTTGTTTTTTTTTTTTTTTTTATTAAGGAAAATATATCGTTAGTATATGGCGCCATCTGTTGATGGAATTGACTAAAGATAATGCGACAAAAACTTTTAATTAAATTAATTTAATTAATCTAAATAAAAATTGCACGTTTTAATGGGTTAAATAAATAATAATGAATTAGCTATTTGATGAAGAAATTAATCATTTTCTTTTCTGAATAACTTTATAATTAAACTTTCTCAATCTATAATTTTAACATTAAAGATTGAAGAAAAAAACGGGGAAAAATTGTTTTATAAATCATTTAAAATGAAAGAAGCATAAAAAAAATTCATTTTGACTTATAAATGGCAGAATGATATTAAATTTAGTTTAGTTTTTATCTGAAAACAATTTTTTATAACATTGTTTTTTATCACTAGAAAGATATTTTAATGTATTAGAATTTTATTTTATTTTTTTAAGTGTATTTTTTGCAAAAAGAATTTATTTAATTTGTCTCAGTTAGGAAACAAAACAATTAATAATGAATTCGGTAGGATGAAGAAGAAGATTAAAATATTTATCGCATCCAGAATAAATATTTAATACAGAAATATGATAAGAGAGGGCATTACGTTTAATCAGAAGATGTATACATTAATTATACAAATGATACGGTATTTATATAATAATTCTAATCTGTGTGGATGACTTTTCCATAATTTCCATCACGTAGTTTCCTTCTGCTCTTATCAATAACGAGCGCGATGGTTGATAGGTTGACGAGTAGAGCTTCCTGAATCGACAAAAGGTTCTGATTCCTGAATGACTTCCAGAGTCATCAGCAATAGATGACTCTCAATTTGACGTCAGATCACGCAAAGTATCATTTTGCACCAGATAAATTCTGGTTATTTTTCCCTACTATGATTAAAGAAAATTTCTAGATATAAAAATTTCTTGATAGATGGTATCGATAATAGAATTTTTTCCATATTTATATACTTAAAATATTTTATTGTATATAGAAAGGAGTGTTCTTTAGATTAATTATTATACAAATTAAAAAGTTTTTAAAAATTTAATTAGTTACGTAATAATAGTAATTAAAATTTTAAATTATGACGCAACAATTAAAAAGTTTCTTTTCTAGAACGTGACTAATGATCTAGAAATATTAATTGTTGCAAGTGACGTCATAATAAAACTTCACAGAGAGGCGCTGTGACGTAACAATTAAGTTATGAACGATTGCCATTTCGATCGCGATAACGCTAACAAAAATTCTACTGGAGTTTAGATAAAATTAAACCTTTTTTCTAACAATTTAGCGATT